GTAAGGACAGGTCAGAGGTGCCAAGCCTCGGACTGCTACAGTAATTCCTTTATGACCGAAGTGAGGGATAAATCCAAAGCTTCCCGCTCAAATAGCTGCATGATAACGACAATAAGCATGCCCGCACCTGATTCCTTATGATGAGCGGCACAGCAGGTATGGTGGACATCCGTGCATCTGAATACCTCTCAAATTCCCGGTCCCGGGATAATCGTTTGGATAGACACGTCAGGCTCCGATTATCTTGCTTGGCATGCCACGTGGGTTCCTCATTGGATCCTATAAATACCCCCCGGGTCACGTCAAAAGGTAATTGAAACCAACCCTAAGCTCTTTTTATCTCCGATCTAAAGGTAGCCTCGATTATTGCTGACTTAAGCATCGGAGTGTCTACCCCGAGTTCCATCTCGGGGCTTTGCAGGTCATTCCGGAGTATTAAGACGGACTGAAGAAGGACTTCTGGTTTGGTGCAATTACAGGTTAGATACACATACTTTAACATTAATTATTTTTCTATCTAAATTAGAAAATTTATGAAGAATTATCTCTTTATTAATTTTTTAATATGATTTTTCAATCTTGCACCTTAAGAACATAGGATAAGTTCTAGGTTTTTCCTTTGGTGCTCTGCTTAGGGTTGAGGGCGACGGCTACAGGTTTCTCCCAAAGGTTTCTCTCCGGCAAGGAGTTTCTTCTTTCTCTACTGTTTTCTTCCCTTCCCTTCCTCCTCTTGATTTTTTCCTTCCTCTTAGTCGACTGTCTTGCTTTGGAAACTTCAGCCTAAGGAACCACAAGGCAATGTCATCTTTCGATCTACATCTACTATCGATTTTTGAAGGTTGTGACTGAATATCGAGGGACATGATCTTGCTGGTGGGTTTGGGTTTCTCTTATTCACCGGATCAAAATCTTGCTTCGACATATTTTCAATTTCGGATGGGATCCTGGTGGGGGTTGCATTTGGAGAACCTGGTGTACTCTAATTTCCAGTAAGGTAGCGACATTTTTCTATCTACATTAGCGAACCTAGTGCACTCCAATTTTTGATCCGGTAATCAAATATAGAAGGACAAGGATGCTATGGGTGACTTTGGTTCCAATGTTGTTGGTCTTCTAAGGAAGTGTATGTTTTTGCACCGGTTTTGCTTTTGCCGGCCACCTGAACTTGAAACAAACTAAGCATTTTCTGCTTGGATGGAGCATTGTAGTGCCGAGAGACACCTCATCGCCAAGTCCCTTGATCTCCTGTGCTAGGTTTTGGATGGCAAAATAGATGTGATTACCAGTAGCGACCGTAAGCTCCAATGTAGTCTATGTTATCACATAGCTCTATTGATACCCCTATAATATATACTAGTATTTAGAGGTTCTCAATTCTTAATTGTTCAATTTGTATGGAGCACCAAGCTCTCTATATTAGTATTATAGGTCTTACCTAACTTATTTATCTCTCTTGCATAGTATATATGGCATGGTATACTCTACACTATAATTGCTTTTCAATTATTAATCCAATTATACCTTTTATCAAAAAACAAAAAAAAAA